TCACCAAGGCCAAAGGCTAGGTATGCCATCCGTCCTGTCCCTCACCTTCCTTGGCCGAGATCAGCTTCTGTGAAAACTGCTTGCACTCCAGCCCCTTCTGGCTCAGCAGCGCTGTCAGCCCGTCCACCCGTGCTGTGCTTTTACCAGGTCTACACCCTTGTCCCTCACCTTCCGTGGCCGAAATCAGCTTTTGTGAAAACTCCTTGCACTCCAGCCCCTTCTGGCTCAGCAGCGTTGTCAGATCATCTACCCTTCCTGTGCTCCAAACAGGTTTGCATTGAACACTCTCTCACCTTCCTTAGCCGAGATCAGCTTCTGTGAAAACTCCTTGCACTCCAGCCCCTTCTGGCTCAGCAGCGCTGTCAGCTCATCTACCCGCTTGCCTTGGTCCTCCAGCCTGGCACACGGCAAAGATAATCGAGGTGATTGAATGAAAAGAGGCAATAGAGGCAAAGTTCAGCACAATCCTGTCCGCCATCCACCCGCTTTCCCTGATCCTCCAGCCTGGCACACAACCGAGATATCGTTGAACAAACAGAACCCGTGAGCACAATGCATAGGCACCTGGTAGCAGGCAGGCGGCCTCGAAACGCTGGCATGGCGGTTTGAAATCCTGAACTCAGAACTCTAACTGCCACTCACATTGCCTGCAGCCGGTTCTGTCCGTCCATGGCCGCTTGGTACTCCTCCCCCAACCGTCGTTGAATCTCCACGCTTTTCCGCTCCTCTCGCGCACAGCCTGCACAGCGACGTAAGATGGGCAGCAGATACGGGGTTACTACGATCCATACCGCCGATTCTTCAACCGAACGACCGAACTAAACGACCAATCTGAACGACCGAACCGAACGACCGAACTGAACGACCGAACCGAACGACCGAACTGAACGACCGAACTGAACGACCGAACTGAACGACCGGACGTACTCGGTAGAGACGCGGCCATGGAACTTATGCTCGTTGCTCGTGCCTTTTCCATGCGGTGCGTGGCCTCTTGTACCTCCCGCTCCTGCGCCTGCACCTGCTCCTCCAACTCGCCCACTCTCCCTCAAACCTCTCATCTGCTCCATGCATGCCTCTGCTCTCCTCCCTGCCCCATGTCCCACCTGCCCCTTGCCTTACCTTTTCCATGCGGTAAGTTGCTTCCTGTAGCTCCCTCTCCTGCGCCTGCAACTGCTCCTCCAACTCGCCCACTTCTCCCTCGCAACGCGTGCGAGTCCCTGTCCGCCTTGCGCACCTGCTCCTGCAGCCGCACCCTCTCGCGCTCCATGGACGCCTTCTCCTGAGGAATTACAAGACAGTGAAGGCAGGAGCAGGGGCGTGAGCGACGAGCCAATGAGACAGAGCGTGTTGGTCCCTGTCCGCTTTGCGCACCTGCTCCTGCAGCGCCACCCTCTCCCGCTCCATCGACGCCTTCTCCTGGGAATCACAAGGCAGGAGAAGAGGCTTTGACCAATGAGCCAGATGAGAGTGTGCGACTCCCTGTCCGCAATGTGCACCTGCTCCTGCAGCCGCACCCTCTCCCGCTCCATTGATGCCTTCTCCTGACAATGGCAACGCAAACAGTGACGGCCGGAGCATGCATTGGAGCGACGAGGACCACGGGGAGACCAAAGAGTCGGCTCAAAAGTCTCCCGGGAGTAACAACGCGGAAAGTCATGGCCGGGGCGGGCATTAGAGCGATGATTTAACGGGGTGACCAAAGATTCGACTCAAAAGTCTCCCGGGGAGTAACAACGCAAATAGAGTCATGGCCGGGGCGGGCATTAGAGCGATGAGATAACGGGAGCGTGCGAGTCTCTGTCCGCTTTGTGAAGCTAACCTTGCAGCCGCACCTTCTCTCTCGCTCCATCGGCGCCCTCTCCTACGGACCCAACAGTTAGCAACATGTGTTGGCAGGAATCAGGCGATGACAGGTAATGACAGGTGACAGGTGACGTGTGACAGGTGACATGTGACATGTGACAGGTGATGACAGGTAATGACAGGTGACAGGTGACAGGTGACATGTGACAGGTGACAGGTGAGAGGTGACATGTGACATGTGACAGGTGACAGGTGAGAGGTGACATGTGACATGTGACAGGTGACAGGTGATGACAGGTAATTCTTCACTCTGATGGTTGAGTCACGACGGACAATACTTTTCAGAACTGTCGAAAAAAATTAGCAGATGAAACATGGAGGTTTCTTCTCTAGAATTGGCTTACTTTGGTTCTGACGGTTGAGTCTTGATGAAGCTGCTTCACCGTGTCGGCTAGCCGCTTGAAGTCCTGCAAAGAAGACGGTGAATCAAGATGAACAAATTAATGTTTGTGATATCGGATTGTGAAATGCTGGCGTGAAATTGTAGAGGACAACCCGGAGGAAGGAGGAAGCGGTAACGGAAAGCGGGAGCAACGAAGCCGGAGAGAAGAGGTGGGAGGGAACGAAGGAGGCCGACGGGAAGGAGGTTCTTACCAGCGTCATGGAATGTTTGTCGGTCCTCTCATTCTCCAGCTCCTGAAACAACAGCGCCACATGTGGCAAGCAGTCAGTGCAATGGGAAGGTCGCAATCTCTTTCAGTAATCAACGTCGTAATTTCTTTAGAAAATTAAAGAAAAAGCCGCTGCACGCTGAACGCTGATCAATAATCTTCTGATCAATAATCTTCTGAACGCTGTTCATTCACTGTTCTAAACAGGCTGTTTTGCTTTCCAAGTAGAATCGCTATTTTTGGAACGCTGATTTGTCACCTGGTCACAATCTCGCGAGGATCCGGTTGCACCTTTCGAAGAGATGCGATGGCCTTCTGATCCGGTTGCACCTTTCCCATCTCTGGCTTGACGTTTGAGTCGACTCGCAAGTCACCTGGTCACAATCTCGCGAGGATCCGGTCGTACCTTTCTAAGGGAATCGATGGCCTTCTGAAGGCCGTCGATCTCTGATTGGACTTTTGAGTCGACTCGCAAGTCACCTGGTCACACTCTCGCAGTCAGAAAGGATTCGGTCGTACTTTCTAAGGGAATCGATGGCCTTCTGAAGGCCGTCGATCTCGCCATCCTTCTCCTTGATCGTCGCGAGCAGATGCTTCGACTTGTGCTCCGAGGAAAACCAGCCCGCCCGCTGCGCCATGCTCGCGTGCTTCGATCAATCAGCAGACGACTAAGCAGCCGAACCAATTCGGCTAGATGGCAGAAAATCAGAGCATGGCGTACCGACAAAACTAAGGCACCACAACTGGCTACTGTTGGCCGAAGTAGCGGAACCCGAACCCAGGCTCCGTTGTGTGTAGTAGCCTACTGAGGGTCCTTCACAAGTGGTTTTCCTTGAATTAGCCTATCTCGTAGTTCTACGTGGGAGTCGTAGGAGATTGTCAACGGAAATTTATTTACGATTTCTATTCGGCTTTCACACGACTCGCTGCATCAGACAGCCAGACCTCAGCGAGCTATCTGAATCAAAATGAGTTATGCACACGCCAGGCTGACTCCTGAATTCGTCACAACCGTCGATTCAAACCTCGGGAATCCCAGTTCCTTTCTTCGTGAAGGACGAACCGGAGAGCCGAGGTGAACTAAGGAGTAGCTGAGCTGAATCGGCCTGACGAGTTGCAGGAAGCGTGCTCGAGGTCGTCTTACAAGCTGATAAGAGAGGGCATCTCCGCGAAATGCTTCCTGAGAGCAGTGATCACGTCACCTTGGGAATCGGTCTCCGTGATTTCGGCACGCAACTGATGGGGAACCACAGTCCACGAACAGCACATCACTTTTTCTTACATCACTCACGCAAATGAAGCTCATTCGCTCCTCTCAGGGATTGCCGCTGCTTTCAGCGAAATTCTCCATAAAGGCTTCGAGATACAAGATTTTCCAACCAGACCTCGAGCTTTCTTTTTTCCGGGATTTCGAGATGCCTTATGAATTTCCCCCAGGGATTGCCGCAGAGTTTGCCGCCATTTTCAAATTTGTTGCTGCCCCGTCCATTACCGCAGGCTGTGCTTCGAATGTTTGCATTCTGCCCGACGGGTGTGAGGCTGCACGCTGATGGGTCAGAGAATCTACTGGCAGGTGCCAGACTTGAGATTTCCCGCGCTGATTTGAAAAGGTCTGCCGAGCCGCGCGTCAGAAAGTCCTCCTTACCAAATATCCAATATAAACACCCCCATACTCCACAGACGAAGTTTTAGCATTGTGTACAAACGTTTGCTGTCTCAAACGTAAAAACTCTATCCTTGCCTCCAAATTTCATCTCATGAGGAACACAATCAAAAACAATAAAAACTGAAGCTGGCTTCACAGCTGATACTAGTCGAATGCAGAGGCGCCTTTTTTGTAAGGGCTACGCTATGAAATTTTACACCCTTCCCTCTCCCCACACACAACCCTCTTTCCCAACAGACGACTCTCCGCTCCGACTCTCTTAGTTGCGAAGCACTTAGCAGCGAGGATGCCATCGGGAGACGATGACACGTGGCACGACGACCGCCCGTCGCCAATCAGCCCCGCGACAGCGCGCACTCCTCGCGCGGGTTACCACGCCCTCGTGCGATACTCTTCGTTCTCTTCGCCATCCTCGTCGCAGGCTGCCTCACCGCCGTGCAAATCGGTGGTTCTTATTCCAGTGCTGATAGCCGTCGCATAAGAACAGTATGTACGCGCTACTAGGCGCTTTATTCCAGTGCTGATCGATGGGTTGCGTTCGCGATTGCTTCTCTCGCATTTGCGCCTTCCGCGATTGCGCCTTCCGCGATTGCGCCTTTCGCGATGGCGCCTTTCGCGCTTGCGCCTCTCGCGATTGCGCCTCTTGCCCTCGCCTTAGGTGTCTTCCGCTGCATTCCGCTGCGCCCTCTCCCGCGCGCGCCCTTCCCCATCCCCCGCTACAGTGACATGGGCGTTCGCCAAATTGACTTCGGTCGAGGCGATTTGTGCACACATTATTCCCAAATTTCCTATCCCCTCCCCCCCTCCCCTCCCCTCTCCCCTCCCAGTCACATGGGCGTTTAGCCCGGGACGAGGGGTGGAGGCGGAGTTGAGCCACGTCAGCAGCATGCACAGCCCCGGTGCCGTGGCTACTGCCGTAGCTGCCGCTGCTGAGGCTCGGAAACATGCTGCTGCTGCCGCCGCCGCCGCTGTGCTGCTGCTGCTGCTGCTGCTGACTCTGTTGGTTCTGCTGCTAATAATGCTTCTAATGGCTCTGCTACCGGTGCTGCTGCTGCTGGCACTGCTGCTGCTAGTGGTGATGCTAGTGACACGAACGAGAGTGATTATGGTGACGGGCCATCGAGTCAGCAGATAAAATTACCACTTTAGATCGAGACATTTACTATTCCGACCTGCAAATACTCCATCTCAACTACGGTCTGCGCCAAAAAACCTCTCTCCTCCCTCAACTGCTTCGGCAAACCCTGCCCGGACTTCTCAGGCAGCTGCGGAAAACTTTTCCCCAACATTTCAGCCTGCTGGAACGAGGGATTAGTGGACGAGGGTATGTTAAGCCGCCCACTCCGGTCAACTGCCCGAAAATAGATAATGTGAAGGACCTCAGGCCGGAGGGAAGGGACACGAGCTGCAGCCATTACACGGACTTTCACTGGCACGACCAGCGGCTTATCAGGTAAAACACTTTTAAATTATGTGTTGCGTTCTTTATTTTGCGTATGTACTACACGTATCAGGTGAGTTACTCCTATGTGTTACGTTTTCCGGGTATGTAACATAGGGTAAGGCACATTGGGAGGTACACGAGCTGCAGCCACTACACGGACTTTCCCTGGCACGATCAGGCGACCTGTCAGGTGAGTTTCTGTATAATTGTGTATTCAATTTTTTGTATTTTTTTGCATGTCATATACACTTGCATGCGTCAAGATATACCTCTTTTCTTCCGTTTTCCTCATTCCCCTCCCCCCTTTCCTCACTTTGCTCAACTGTGTTTGCCTCCTCCTTCCACCCCCGCTTTAACCCCTCCTCCCCCCCCGTTTCCCGTGCCCTGCAGGTTAACCCCTCCTCCCCCCCGCTTTCCCGTGCCCTGCAGGTTAACCCCTCCTCCCCCCCGCTTTCCCGTGCCCTGCAGGTTAACCCCTCCCCCCCCCGCTTTCCCGTGCCCTGCAGGTTAACCCTCCTCCCCCCCGCTTTCCCGTGCCCTGCAGGTGTTTCGCCTGAGTAACGTGTTTATAAACGACGATGGCAACGTGTTCAACTCAACCACTCTCTTCAACAAGGGCGACTGCAACGGACATCTAAATGTAAGAAGTGTAAATAAAAGGTGTTTACTTGTAACACGTTTATCCATGTAACGACACGGCTTGAAGGGAATGTGCCCATAAATAACGATGGCAACGTTATCAATGCAACCACTCTCTTCAACAAGGGTGACTGCAACGGACACCTCAATGTAAGTTGTATGAACGTACATAATATGTAGGTACATGTAACACATATGTGCATATAACGGTGAGGCTTGAGCCATGTCATGCACCCTGTCTGTCATCCTCTTTCCCGCAGCCAGTTCTCTTTCAAGGCATGCCACACTTAGGCGCATCCTACGGACAAAGCAGTCTCCCTCGTCTATCGCCAGGCCGACGCCTCGTCATCATTGATCGGCAGAGGCATCTGGCACCCGGCACCCGGCCTTGATGTCTACCATTGGAGTCATAGCACCCGGCCTTACTGTCACGCTCCCTGATCCCTCTCTTTTGAGTCGACTCAAAAGCGACCCTAATGTCACGCTCGCTGATCCCTCTCGTTCCCCGCCACCAGTTCTCTTTCAAGGGGGAAGACTCAAGTGCACCATGTTGAGACAGCCATTTCTCTGCTGCCTCTCCGCCAGGCTGACGCCTTCTACCACGGCTTTGTCGAGTGGCAGCCTTCCCCCCTCTTCCCCTTCCCTCCAGATTTCCTTCAGGGCCGGATTGACTCGATTGACTCCATTGACTCGATTGACTCGAGTGATCGAGTGACTCGAGTGCATTATGTTCACAGAGCTATATCCCTCGTCTACCGCCAGGCCGCCGCCTTCTACCACGGCTTCATCGAGTGGCAGCTACACCCTCCACCCTTTTCCCCCTCTTCCTCCTCCCACTCTCCCTCCCTTCCAACACACCAGTTCTCTTTCAGGACAGAAGGACTCGAGTGCATTATGTGGATAGGCCATTTCTCTGGTGTTCCGCAGGCCGACGCTTTCTACCACGGTTTCATCGAATGGCAGCCTACTCTGTGCCCTTGTCTTCCTAATCAGTTCTCTTTCAAAGCGGGAAAGACCCGAGTGCACCACATGCAGAGAGCCGTATCCTATCCTCCACCCTTTCCCCCTCTTTGCCCCCCACACCAGTTTCTTTCGGGGCTAGAAAGACCCGAGTGCACCACGTGCAGAGAGCCGTATCCATCGTCTACCGTCAGGCCGACGCCTTCTACCACCGGCTTCATCGAGTGGCAGCCGACCTTCTATATCCTGCGAGCCCGTGCTCGCTGCTCACCCCGACATCCCCTGCTAGCCGGCCCTCCCAGGTAGGGTCTTCTCGGACCCGGCCCTCCCAGGTAGGGTCTTCTCGGACCTGCCCCTCCCAGGTGAGTTGAATGACTTGTGCAACAGGCAGCTGTATATATTGGTGTACAGCCTACCGCCACTGGCTTCATTGAGCTGTCCTCGCTGCTCACCGCGACACCCCACTGCTAGCCTTGGTTTTCCAGGTAAGCAAGTGCGCTGTGTCCGGCCTTCTACCACGGTTTCATCGAGTGGCAGCCAGCCTTCTATATTCTGCAAGCCGTGCTCGCTGCTCACCCTGGCATCCCGCTCTTCTAGCACGCCCGTCACAGGTGGGATAAAAGTGTAGGCACATACCGACTTCCAACCTTTCTATCACATGCTCCTTTCGATTCTAATGATGCAGCGGCTCATCTTCCCCCCTCTTCCCCCTCCCCCTTCCCCCCTCTTCCCCCTCCCCCTTCCCTCCCCCTTCCCCCCCTCTTCCCCTCCCCCTTCCCCCCTCTTCCCCCTCCCCCTTCCCCCCTCAAAACCTTTCCCCATCTGGCTTCATCCCTTCTTCTCCCCAGTCCTTTTCCCGGGTTAAGTAATTCAGGTCTGTTCTGAGATGTCTCAAAACTTAACTACTTAACCACGCACTATCCCTTGTTTTCTATTGCTTCTCTCCCTTATTTTCCCAGTGGTGCTTCTACCAGCGCGCCATCCAACACCTAGTGGGGATCAGCACCGGAAGTGTAAGGAGTCTGCAATGAAAATTTCTGCATTTGAACCCCCCTCGCCCCCGTCTCCCCTCAACCCCCCACCTTTTCCCACTCTCTCTCTCCTAAATCTCTCCCCAGTGGCGCTTCTACCATCGCACCATCCAGCAACTAGTGGGGGTCAGCACCAGAGCAATGAGACGCCTAGCCATCCCCGAGGGCGATCTCTTCAACATAGAGGAGCTCGACCAGCCGCTCTACCAGGGCTGCTGGAATGAATGCACCTTGCCTGTGACTTGATTCCCCTACCTTTTCTTTTAAAATCCCCTTCCCCTCCCTTTTCAGTGGCGCTTCTACCATCGCACCATCCAATACTTTGTCGGAGTCAGAACCAAAGCCATGCGCCGTCTAGCCATTCCCGAGGGCGATCTCTTCCATGTGGGGGAGCTTTACCTGCCGCTCTACCAGAGCTGTGGGAATCCCTCTCCTGCCATCTGGCGCACCCTTCGTTACAATCACCTCCTGCTTCCTAATGGGTTACCGTACTTTTATAGTGACAGGTGGCAGCTGCGCAGCGTGCCACATGGTGGTGATTCTTCAGAGATTTTCTCAGGCAGCCCTGCTGACGGGCTGGGTAATGCAAGCGTGGGATTCGGAGGGCGGGGAAATTTGTCGAAGGTTTTTCCGCTGCCCAGGGATTGGATTGTGGTGGTGGTGCAGCGGCTTGGGGCCAAGGGCAGGACGATGAAGCAGTTCAGGCAGCTGCTGGGGGCAGTGGAGAAACTTTTCGGGGCGGGCAGAGTCCGAATATTCAACGGCACTCAGAGTGTCTATGAAAGTAAGTTCAAGTACTTGCCAAGTGCAGTCCATGCCTCCATTGGGAAAAATGGAGGTAACATCAGTTCTTTCCTCCATTTGTCTAAGGTTTTTCCTGGCAACAGCTTGCCCCACCTTCTGTTTCTCCCCCCTCTCCCACCCCCTCTTTCCCCCCACTCCTCCCTTTCTGTTCATTCCTCGTCTTTTTCTCTCTGACTTTCCCCTTTGCCAGCTCGTGATCTTTTCAGCAAGGCCCGTCTTCTGGTGGCTGGGCATGGGGCGGGGATGTCCCATATGATCTTTATGCCGCCCAACGGTACAGTACTGGAGATTCGCCCCGGATACGTATGATAACGCCTGCTTTCATCATCTTTCACATGCCTGCGATTTGAATTACTATCTTGTTTTTGGGAAGGGTGCCCGGCTGAAGCCTTTGACGTTTGATAAGCAGAAAGTGGTGAAGGTCTTGAGACAAATAAAGCAGAGCTTCGGACATCCTCGTTATTGGTAGCCATCGTTTATACACCATTTTCCCTGAGTTGAGTTGAGACTGTCGCCCCTCAGATTTCAGGATTTTTTCCCTGATTTTGCTGATTTTCAGGGTTTTTTTCTGTACCTACCTTGAAAAATCGGCGTTCGAATCTGACAAAACGGGGCTAACTAGTAAAAAAAAACAGTACCAACCCTGAATTTCAGAGTGTTTTCAGGGTGCCTTTGTGTACCAACCCTGAAAAATTAGTGTGGCCTAAAACGATTCTGAAGGTACCTGCTGGGGTTCCTAGTGGAAAGGCCACAGGTGCAGAGCTTGGGGGCTATGGGCGCACTGACCACTGTGTTACACATGCTCATGTGAAAACATGCTCACCACCTTGCGCATTATCTGTCCTGTCACATGGGTTGTCACAGCAAAGCATTTTCAGCGTAGTGGTACGCGAGCTTCGGTTTCTATACATCAGTATTGGTGTAGGCACTCGCAACCCACTTCTAACATGCACTGATTGGTCGTCATATGCTCATCATCATGAAGGGTCTCATTTCTCAGGTGTATGCCAGGTGGCCTGGCTATGTTCGTCTATACAGCAACATCCGCCTACAATCATTGAATGCACGTAGTCCGTCTGGGAGGCTGTAATAAGTCGTGCAGGGACAATGCACGATGACAACCATTCAATGCAGTACACCCTCCTTACATGTACACAATATGGATAGGCTCTTCTTAGACGAGCCTGGAATCCAAGGTTGGTGCTGAAGCGGAGTTACCTAGCTGGAACATCAATCCAGCCATTGGCAAAGGCAATCCCTAGGATTATGAAGGGTGTCAGGAGCCCAAAAATGGCAATGTAGGGAAGGACTGTGCTCATTGGCCCTTTTCCCTCCCTCTCAGACGATGTCTGCCAATACTGCGGGAATGGGCAAGAACAAGACGAGCGCGAAAAACACAAAGAGCATGAATGGCTGATAGGGAAGTTGGATACCTCGTGATTTCTTGCAGGATTACATACACTGTCCACCTGACCTTTGAGTCGACTCAAGGTCACCTTTTGAGTCGACTCAAGGTCACCTTTTGAGTCGACTCAGAAGTGTTGCATGATTCCGAATGGCACTGTCCGTCTGTTCAGCAGCGGAACAAACAATTTTAGGACCTGCTCGGCAACATTGACACTTCTGAGCATATCTGTTGGGTAGGAAAACTTACTCATCGGGCTCTTCTTCTTGGGTGATGAATTTCTTCTTTTCAGTCTTGCCGTCTTCACCTGGCAAAAGCACCGAGCTCGTGAAGAAAAAATCAGTTTTAAGCAGGAAACGAACAGCCGCGGATTGTTTGGAGGCGGAGATGCGCGTGAGAACGTGAGAGGAGTGATGCGGACGGGGTGTTACTGAGAATTCTCAAACGAGGAGGCAGCATCAAACCAATCCTCATCCGAAATGGAAACTGTGTTATCTTTTGGCGGGCCATACCTCCGCTGAACATTGCGTTGATCTGGTTCGGTCTTCTCGAGGCTGCCGGGTATTGGAGCTTCACGGACGGAAGCCGCCGAGCCACGAAGGAGGTAGAGGCGTTGAGTGACCTTCTCGCCGAAGTTTCGCACTTGAGGACGGCGGAAGTTGGTGCAGAAATGCTGGCGAAAGTGGCGGACGCCATCGAAACTAGGTGGAAAGTACAGGTATTGCCGAAAAACACTGCAGCCGCAGCCCTGCACGCTCCTCTAGCAAGCACAAAACGACCTCCAGATGAGTCTAAATGCTAGGGAGTTCGGCAACGTCAGGGTCTTCAGGTGTAGAACACCTTCAGCAATAACAGGGCAGGATGACACAGGCTGTGGAGAACAATCGTACTATCTGCTGACTTCTCAAAATGTAGATTCCAAGTTTCCCCTTGCGGCTGTGACGACTTGGGTAGATTTCTGGCGATCCGTCGCACGGGCCTCTGAAGACGTCACCATATCCAGCAAGGCGATCTCTGCTGGTAAAAACTGGTGACGCGTCAGAGATCTGAATGGTTGTTCCCAGGCAACTTCCGCACGTCGTTCCACGTCGCAAAGCACTGATGATGTGGCGATGGAACTTACGTCAGTGCAAGCCTGAATGGCGTCAGCGTTGGTGGGCTGCCTATTGCGAAGCTGCCTGAATCTCGTGTGAGCGTCGTGGAGCTTCGAGAGCCTCTGCGATGGTATCGTCATCGTGCACCATCAATTGAAGAATTCGTTATTGAATCAAGTCCGAAAAACGTAATCTACCGGTACTCCTATGTAAACCAATGATTCTTTGACCGTTTAAATGAAGTGAGAACCGTGCTTTTAAAAAAATGGTACAACCAAACACCTCCACGCAATGGAGATGGAAAAATGTGTACTGAGCACTCGTGGTACTCAGGATATTGCAACTGACTCAGGGCTTCAGGAGTTGAAGAGAAGCTCCTCAACATGTAGCCTTTTCATCTGCACGAGGAAGTTCATTTCCTCCCACAGAAAAGACATGCGTCCAGCTGAATCAACCAGCAGGGCACCATTCACCCACTGAGGGTTCTTAAAATTGTAGTCTGCTATTCTCCCCTCCCCTTCCAATCTGCCAAGAATCAGATCGAGCAGGATAGGAAACAGACACGCATGAGCACAGTTGCAGAGGGAATGGCACACTGCAGATGCCTAAAAAGGTACAGACAGAGTGATCAACTGGGATTGCACCAAGCAAGGAATGGGCACTGATGCAAATAGCAACCAAAAGAATCCAAACCCAGACAACGCAGCGCTGATACTCACAAGTTCGTGTACCGGGGCTGGTGTTGTCCCAGAGCACCATCTGCCGCTTGACCTTGCCCCTGGATCAGACTCCTTGCTTGCCCCACCACTTCACTCCACCGCTCACTCTCATCCGCAGCAGTTTGAACAGAGTCAATTCGAGCCTTGAAGGAGACATGCCCCCCTGGAATATTGGGATCTCCAACAATTTTCGTTGCAATAATTTCCCCGCCCCGTACTGCCACGTTCAGAATTTCCACCCCATGATGCCCGAACACGCCCGTCCAGAGGCCCTCCAAATCCCGGACCCAGCTGGGCAAACGAGATCTGGACAAATCCATTCCCGAGGAATTTCCTCCTGGCGAAGACTCCCCCGTTACAGCCTCTCCCGCAACAGGAACTCTGTGATAAGTAGATTTCGGCACAGGCACTCTTCTCGTCTGCCCGTCTGTCGTTTCTGACGGCTGCTGGCTCCCTTTCTGCTGCCCGAACACATTTCCCCCCAACCGCGCATAACACCCTTTCCGCTGGAACTTCCGCCAATCCCCACTTCCCCTCCGCCAGCCCCAGGCGTGCGCCACGGCTGTGTGACTCGTCCGCGTACTGAAGCGCGGCCGATAGATCTGCGCTTCAGCGACCACTCCGCGCTGCTAGCGGAAGGAACGGAAACCGCAGCAGAAGCTCCCGCGGAAGAACCGGCGGAAGCTGAAAAATCCACTCGCGGGGCGGAAGGCGGAGCCCTCGTCGGAATGGCGTGCGCGGGCCTAGAGCACCTCATAGCTCCATGACTAAGCGCCACGTCACGACTGCCAGTAATCGGTGTGTCTCTTGGAGGTTCCACCCGCGACCGTAATCTCCTGGCTTCATCAGGCGAGGCCTCGGTACTGTCACACCCGGATCGAGGACGCTTGGATGGAGCCGCCGCTTCCTTCGAAGCGCTCCCGGAATCTCGTTTCAATCCGGTCAGGTATCGCAGAGCGCGAAGCTGAAGCCGCTTCGAGCTTGATCCCTCCTTTCCCGTGCTACAAACGAATCCCGCTCTATGGAGGGCAGCATCGCCGATACTTGGTCCGGACCTCGAAAGCAAGGTCCCGTCGTCGTTGCTGCCCGCAGATCTGCTCGAGGGAGGGCGCGGGGGCAAAGTAGGCACGGCTGCGCGGACAGGGGGGGGAGTAACGGCAGGTCCCCGGGGAATGGCGGAGTGGGGGACGGCTGTAGCGGTGGGGGGAATGGCTGAGGCGGGTACGGCTGTAGCGGCAAACCGGCCCAGGCCAGCCCGCTGAAACGTCGCCTTTAGCCTCGCCGCAGCCCCCAGCGACGACAACGACGACAGCGACGACGACGACGGCCCGGCGACGACGCTCTTCAGCGACGTCGCAGGCGACACGCGCGACGACGACGACGACAGGTCTCCGGGGACCGACGAAGGCGGAACTCTCGCGAAAGGCGCGGCGGCGATGCTCGCGGGGGAGCGGGCGGAGGGCGGAAGAAGCGTCTGCAGGTGGAACTTGGCTCGCGCGGGGGACTCCCAGACGAGCACCCCGGGGAGCTCGAGCGGGTACTCGTCGTCCACCCCGCGCCCCGTGACCAGGCTGAGCTGCGTCGTGCCGTCGGGAAACGCGGAGATCGTGAAGAGGCGCGCGGAAATGAGATTGCCGTCTGCGGGGGATCGGGGGGGAAGGGCGGGGGGGGGGGGGAAAGAGGGGTAGTTGGTGAAAAGGGGGGAGGGGGAGGGGGAAGGGCGGAACGGGAAGGGGAGGGGTTGGGGGGGGGATGCAAGGCGGAATCAAGAGAACGAGAATTGAAGCAGGCATGCGGCAGGGCATGGATGAGGGAACTAATAAAGCCGACTAACACACTCACCTAGCCAATCGGGGATGATTCGATAAGCGACGACAGCCATGCGCTCCCAGGTCACATATAGCAGCCCGCCGCGGGGCGCTAGATCCTCCGCCGCCCACACCCCACGAGCGGGCTCAAACAGTGTAACAGGCGAAAGAGGCATTTCGCCGAGTTCGCCTGCACGAGCCACTCGCTGAGCGCCAGCTGGCCCTCCACTTCCGGCAGAGGTTCAGCCACGTGTTCGGCTGGTCGATGAGTCCGTTCAGGGTGCGACACGTCAGCGAGGCGGCGACGAGATCCCGGGGTTTCAAGCGGTGGAGAATGGTGCAGATGGTGTCGAGGGGTAGGTCTAGGAGCCCGGCAGGGGTGGTGGTAGGGGTGGTGGTAGGGGTGGTGGTAGTGGTGGTGATGCTATTCATGCAGTGCTGGTCAGTTGTAGATGTGGTGTTGGGGTACGCTGAGATCGTCATGGTCGCGTGTTCGAATCTCAAGCAGCACTCAAAAGTCCAGTGAGAATGAGAAGTCCAGTTACTATGGGTGCGACTCTATTCCTGGAAGTAATGCTGTGAGAACATATAGATCCTATTCCCGATAAGGAAGACGAGAGAACGAGAGAGGAGAGAGGGCGAGGAGAGGGAACGAGGAGAGAGAGCGACTCCAAATCGCTGAGTAAGGAGCGACAAAAAATGCTTAGTAAGGGCGTGATGCAATGAACGGGCCCAGAAATATCTTCAAGGGCCGATCGCGGAGGACCAGGATTCTACTGCCAGTTCCTGCTGCTTCTGCTGCGCTTTGCGCCGCGTTGCGCGTTGCGCTTTGCGCCGGTCTAGGCAGCTTCGTACGGTATTGCAACTTTGTCACTGCCTCCTAACGTCGTGATAACCGGCCAGGGTGGAGAGGAGAGCTGCGATCAACAGACCGTACTTCGGGTGGTAGCAGCAACTAACGCAGACCGACCCTGAAATATCTCCACGAGCTGACGATCGTGGTCGCCGAGCATATGCAATTTGGGCGGCGCGAGATGATCTTCGAAGGTGGAACGAAGGGATTTCGCGAAGATCCTATGCTTCGTTCGTTCATGAGACGGGGGTCAATCGGGAGTTGATCGGGGACGCTTGGCAGCTGACAACTGGCTAATAATTAAGGGGATGCCGGTGGATGTTCTCCTCCTGTCTTCGCCACGCGTGCGAGCGACGGCGAGCGATCCCTCGCGATATTCGCAGGCTGTCGCGTTGACGTAACACGTCGACGGCATGACGCCGAGTGAGGCTGACGCAAGCATGTACTGGCCCTAGACTCTTGGGGTAAGTGAGTCGGAGAGCAGAGATGTAGTCTGTGATGTGAGCCCAAAGCGAGGCAGCAGCGTACATACAGCTGGGGCGCTGGTTGTTTCCTTCCCATTCCAAACCAACCCGGGTGAGAAAGGGAGGGGAAGGGTGAGTGACTAGCCGCGGTTCACTGGTTTAAACGGGTATGGGAAGAGGTTTTTTACGGTAACGTGTTGTCTAGGCTGGCTTGGTCTGAGGGCCCAGCCGCAGTCCTTGCAAATTGCAACGCAGGGAGATAACTGACTGGAAGTGATCAGTGAAAAGGGAGCTGGCCGCAATTTCCAGCAAGAGTTGCGTTTGGAGAAGGGGAGAGCTGGTTGGTTCGCTGGTGCATTACGGTACTGTACGTTTCGGTATGGTTCTGTACGCGGTCCATGGTTGGTGCTTGCAAAACTGGGCAGAATGGGTTTCCGTCAACTGGTCCCCTCCCCCAGCAAACTTGCAGCAGCAGCTTGCTGCTTCTCCTTCACCCTGCCCGGTTTCCCGAATGAGAATGCACGCTGGCGGGAGCACAGGAGGCGCAGAAACGGGCCAGGTTCAGCAGCAAATATCCCCTTCTCCTGCCCCAGCCCCTCCTCCCTTGCGCGGGCCGTGTGCCCCCGCCCCCAGAAGAACGAAATGGGGGATGAGGGGGGACGAAACCTAGGTGCGGAGCAGGGAGGTGTGAGTGAGCCACTGGTTGGGGGAAACCAGCGGTACAGGACCTCTTCCCCCTTCCCCGAATTTTGGCCACGTGGAAGTGAGTGGGCACTCGCGTGACTCGTCGCGCACGGCGGTGCGATCAGCATAGGAGGCAGTAATTTGGATGGGAGTCATGGGACCGCTTGTGCCAAGATGTAAGCCAGAAGGGATAACGAGGGCGTATTCTTTAATGCGAATTAGAGCGTCAGGGTGTTCCAGGTTGAGCATCTTTCGATATCATCTCGAACGACGGGTTGTTGGTAACAGTTCAAGTGCATACAGGAATGCAGTTCAGCGTACGCCCTGAGCTGTTACACGTCAGACCATCACTTTCACCCGTCAGCTGCACCACATTCAATCGAGCCTGCACGGACGGGTCGGATTTCATCACATCAGCATGCTGTTCCTCACCAAAATTCTCAGCCTATAACCAAGAGGCACGTAGTCAAATATAGCGTCAAGTTGTCCGTTGAACTTTTGTCCCTTGCCAATCCCAAAGGGTGAGAGCAGCAGCATGAGCGAGCGTGGTTGCCGAATTTTTCCTCTGCTGATTGGCACGTCATTCAGAAAGGGACTGTACACAAATCAGCCAATAAGGTCGTAGGAAAGCGCATGAAGGCAGTCAACTACATCCGGGCCGCGTTGAATCTGCGTCTGCTTCCAGTCAGCATCCATCCAACGAATCCAGCCTACACAGGTTGACCCTACCTCGGGTTCATGTTCCTCAAGATCAGAGCAGTATCCTTTGTCAGGTGGCGTGCGCAGAGTGGTCGGGAATGTCATCCATCCGCAAACACTGCACAGTGGTCCTCGTAGTGATCATTGGTTCACATATTCTTCTTACACAATAACCATATAAACGTTGTGCTTCATCACCATAGTACTTCACCACACTACAACTTGGGAATTTCATAAGTACCTCAAAAAGCAACGCCTACCTAACGTGATGGTTCATTTGAAGTCCCTGCTTTTCTCACTATCGATTCACCACCATCATCGTCAACAATCACGCAAACTCAAAATTTCTGCAGTTATCAACTTTTTCAGTGCCATAAATTCCAGTGAGTACCGTTGTCGCAGCTTAGTGTAGCGGAACTGAGTGTCAAAATGAGAACGAATAATGACTAGAGGTGGAAACCTAGAACAAATACTAGTTGGTTGTACTCACTAGAAGCATACCTTAGTCTAGCCTATAACTTCTACATAGATAATATGTATAAGTTGACACACCCCCTAGCTAGACAAGGGGTGAAACTAAACAAGAAACAAACAGCTCAGGGCGGCACTACTAATCCAACCACTGAGGCAGGGGTCTGGAGACCAGTCAGCAAGAATACAACCAAAACTGAAGCAAGCCAGGGTGGCACTACTAGTCCAGCCACTGGAGGTAAGGCCACAAGGCCAGTCTGACAAGCAAATATAATAGAGAGTACACAATCAGGATCCTAACAGGGAGCAGCTACAGGAACAAGACCAAGCTGTACACAGTGCCGCTGATGATCTTTAGGCGCAAGCGCCTTAGTAAAGATATCAGCTGTGTTGGCACCTGAGGCCAAGTGAACTACGCGGGCCTGGCGGCGCTGCTGTAGCTCACGCAGGAGAAAGTACCGCAGCTGGATATGCTTCGCTCTGCCCTCAAGCCGAGGCTCCTGACACAGGAGTATCATGGCCCTGTTGTCAGCGTACAGGACCGGGGCAGAGCTAGGCCGCTCACCTAAGTCTGTGAGCAAGAAGGTCAGCCAGCGGAGCTCCTGTGCCGCCATGGCACCAGCGTAGATCTCAGCCTCACAGCTAGACTGAGCCACAGACGACGAGCGAGTGGATCTCCAAGAGATAGCACCCGAACCAAGGCTGAAACAGTAGCCCTGTGACGACCTGAGCGTCTCAGCGTCGTCTGCCCAAGAAGCGTCTGTGTGCCCAGTAAGGACCACTGGCCTCGTCCTCCTAGCACTAACCCCATGCCTGATGTACTAGCAAGATAACGCAAAACCCTCTTAGCGGCAGACCAGTGCTGAGGTCGGTGTCTGCCTGTAGCCACAAAGCGAGCCAGGATGCTGAGAGGGTATGCGAGATCTGGGCGCGTGCAAGTCATCAGGTACATGAGGCAACCCACCAGCTCTGCGTAGGGGCCACTGGGCTCTACTGGCTCCTCAGGAACGGGAGCAGAGAGCCCATGGTCTACGGGTAGAGGTGTGGGCTGTGCGGAGGAGAACTGAAGACCGAACCTCTGAAGGACCTGACGCACCAAGTGTGACTGGGTCAGAGTGATGGTGCGTGCTGCTCTGTCCCTGGAGATCTGCAGGCCAAGATAGCGACGCAGCTCTCCAAGGTCAGTGCAGGTGTGTCTCTTCAGCAGCTCAGCCTTCACAGAGGCCAGTGCGTCCCTGTCAGGAGTAGCGAAGACCAGGTCATCTACGTAGACAAGGATGTAGAACGGAGTCTGGCCGGAACGCACAAACAGTGAAGGGTCAGCAGAGGACGGAAAGAACTGCAGGTCTGCTAACGTGGCACGTAGCGTGTCGTGCCACTCGCGGGGAGCCTGACGCAGGCCGTAGACCGGGCGCCTGAGAAGCCACTGGGTCCCAGGAGGGAAGGTACCAGTGAAGCCCTGTGGTCGGCGCAGGTAGACCTGCTCGTGTAGGCTGCCCTGAAGAAAGGCAGTAGAGAAGTCGAGGGAGTGAAGCTCGTAGTCACGCTGTGCTGCTACGTGTAGCAGCGCCCGAAGAGTGGTCATCTTCGGGGTCGGGGCGAAGGTCTGGAAGAAGTCAACCCCCTCGCGCTGACTGAAACCTCTGGCCACGTAGCGCGCCTTGAAGACAGGCGGCTCTCCAGGGGGGCGCTTCACCTTGAAGAGCCACCGACCATCGACTACGTTCACCCCAGGCGGGGGAACTGCGTCGACGTAAGTGCCGGTGGACCTCCAAGATGCCATCTCCTGCTCCATGGCAGCTATCCACTGAGAGGCCCAAGGTCCCGAGGTGGCCTCAGCGTAGGTGCGAGGGGTCGGGATGTCGAAGGCGTCTGGGTCACCCTCAGGGACTAGGAGCATGGAGCAGAGATGGGGAGCAGCCTCGGAAAGGAAAGCCAGCTCGTACTGCCTGTCCTCTAGGACGTCACTGCCAAGGCAGGAGCACCCCCGACGGACAGAGGACGGGCAGGGTCAGAGACCAGAGCGGTAGCGTAGTCAAGGCGGCGGGTAGAAGCGAAGTCAGCGACAGCGGCGACAAGCGCGTCAAGGCGCGAGACAGGAACAGCAGGGTCGGTAACAAGAGAGGCAAGGACCCGAGGGACAAGGGGACGAGAAGCACGGAGGTAGTCAGAGAACGGAGGAGGTGCAACAGCAAGGGACGAGGGAGGAGGGGACGGGAGGAGGGGAGGACGAGACGAGCGGGAACGGAGCAACATAGGGTGGGTGGGCAGGACAGGAGAGACGGGACGAGCACGGGGGGGACGGCGAGCCCAAACGTGAGACGGAGGGGTAGGGTCAGGGGACAGCGGAGGAGACACAGGAGGGGAACGAGGAGGAAGACGGGCCGGAGACGAGTCCGGCGGCGGGAACACAGGACCGTAGACAGGGAGGTCAGCAGGCGGTGGGGGAGACACCGGCGCGCGGTCCGGTGAGGGAAGGCCGAGCAGGCGGAGAGCGGAAACCGGCGGCGACGGCTGCTGCGGCGGCGACGACGGCTGGGCCGGAACTCTCGGACCAGCAGAGGCAGAACGACCGTCGGCAGAACACTCAACAGCAGCACCCCCAGAACCAACACCCCCAGAGCGAGAACCCCCTCCAACACCAGCGGCACCCCCAGAAGCCGCAGGACGAACACCCTCCTCCACACCAGCACCCCCAGGGGCCAAGAGCGGCGGCGGCAGTGGCGGCAACGGCTGCGGCGGCGGCGACAGCGGCGACGGCTGCGGCAGCGACAGCGGCGGCGGCGGCGACGGCTGCGGCGGTGACGACAGCGGCGACGGCTGCGCAGCGACGGCGACGGCGGCGGCAGCGGGGTCGGCGACTGCGACAGTGGGGGCGGAGGCACCGGGGAAGGGGGACGCGGCAAGGACGGACCGGGGGTACCACCAGAGTCAGCAGACTCCTCAACGGGGACAACCGACGGGAGGGGAGTGACGTGGGAGACACCAGACGGGGCAGGACGAGGCGGGAGAGGGGCAGGGGCTACCGGGGGAGAGGGAGCAAGGAACAGGGGGGGGGCAACTGGGAGACCTCGGTGAGGGAAGCGGCGGTAGAAGGAGACGGACTCGTCAAAGGTGACGTCACGAGAGTGGAGGAAGCGGTGAGACGGCGGGTGGTAGAAAAGCCAGTCAGACGAGTCCAGGGGGAAACCGAGGAAGACACAGGGGACAGTGCGGGCAGTGAGCTTGTCCGTGCCAGAGGCACGAACGTGAGCAAGGCAGCCCCAGACGTGGAACGCAGACGCGTCACCGGGGGACCCGGTCCAAAGGAGGGTCGGCGAAACCTGCGGCCGCTGGGAGCGTGGCCACAGGTTAAGCTGGTGAGCAGCGTAGCGAACAGCGAACGGCCACAAAAAATGGGGGCATCGGCATGGATCATGGAGGTACGGGCGACCTCCATGACCAAGCCGATGCGGCGCTCAGCAACCCCATTCTGCTGTGGCGAGTCCGGCAAGGTGTACGACTGGGTGATGCCCTCCGCACGACAGAACTGTCCAAGCCGACCAGAGGCGAACTCGCCGCCACGGTCGGAGTGGAGACACAACACGGGGAGACCGCGGTGGAGACGCGCAGCCACAACCCACGGGAGAAGAACGTCGGGCACGTCGGCCTTCCGCTCCAGGGGAAACACCGTGGTGTAGCGCGTGTAGTCGTCGACGAGCACAAGGAAGTAGCGCTCACCGCGCGGTCCGGGGACGGGGGCAGGGCCCCAAACGTCCAAGTGCAGGGTCTGAAGGGGGGCAGTAGCAGGACGCAGCGAGGAGGAGTGAGGAGCACGGCGAAGCCGACCCTCGACGCAAGGCGTGCACGGTGGCGCAGTCGAGGGAGGAAGGGCAGGGAGCGACGCAGGGAGACCTAAGACAAGACCGTGCTGGGACATGTGACGCAGACGCGGGAGAGCAGGGTGACCTAAGCGGTGGTGCCAGAGAAGGGAGGGGTGAGCGAGGGACCGACACGAGCAAGCTGCAGCGACCTGGGAGGACGCACCAACCGGGGGGGAAGCGGTGTCTAGGGTAAACAGACCGGACACCGGGTCCCGGGGGAACGTCGCAAGGGGGGAACCTGAGACAGCCTCAGAACAGACAGCGAACCGCTCGTGCCCGGGGAACGTGGTGGTGACGCCGAGGTCCTGGAGACAGCCGACACCAACCAGGTTCCTGGAGAACGAGGGAACGTGGAGGCCAGTAAGGGAGCCTGAGGGAACTGCCGGACAGGGAAGGGACGTAGAACTGCGCGCGACGACCGGACCCGCAGAGGGGTCAGCGAGAGAGACAACAGCAGGTGCAGCAAGCGGCGTGAGCGTGGAACGGTCGCGGAAGAAGCAGGCAGAAGCACCGGAGTCGAGAGTGAAGGACAGCGACGCAGTGGCGGAGGCCGGGGACGGAGCCGGTGCAGCGACTAGACTAGGCAACCTAGGCAGTCCTACGCCTGACGCAGCAGGGGAGGCTAAGCTACACAGTGGTGCAACACCTAAACTAGAGTACACAGGGTAATAAGATCCAGCAAAACTAGAAGTGTCAGAATACAAAGCATGCAAAGCAGCACCTAGCTGATCCATGTCTAACTCAAAGATCGGCACGCCCTGGCGGAGCAGGCTGTGCCAGTCGGGGAGGTCCGGGGCCGGGCCAAAGCGACGACGAAAGAGATCGTCGAGGCGGCGGAAACAGCGGGCGGTCGGGTGCGGGCGGCGGCACAGAGTGCCGCGAAGAGGCCCGGTCTGAAGCTGGTACTAGCAGGTGACAGCACCGGAGCCGCCGGTAGACGCCAAGCTGCGCGGGCCGCCACTACGGCCACTACCTCCGGAGGTGCCGGGCCAACCAGGCGGGAGACGGGCCCACTGCTGCGGCGACTGCTGCTGGGACGGTAACTGCTGCTGGGGCGGCGGCTGCGCTGGGGCTGCTCCTGCTGCGGCTGGGGCTGCTGCTCCTGCCCACCAGTGGTAGTCCCCGCAGGCGGATTACCGTCACCACCACTACTGCCACCACCACCCCTACCCCCCTGGCGACCACGGCCACCGCGGCGCGAGCGC